GTGAAGAGTAGTCTTGTCCTGAAAATCAAGAGTGCGAGAGACATGAGTCAGTCTGTAGAGTTCTCCCTGCCATCAGGACCACAGAGAGCATGATTGGTAATGAGGTGGGATGTTCTCCATGTTTACAGCAATACGGTAGCTGATTTCAGAAAATCTTTAATAGAAAAGTGTTTGCTGCACTCAAGTCCCTGCTTTTTTATGCTTCACTCTTGCAGTTCGACTGCACAAACACCCTAAATGACCAGTTACTAGAGAGGGTCACTGTGCAGATGGAACCGTCGGATGCTTACGATGTGATTCGCTCTATCCCAGCAGCCAGCCTTTCTTACAACCAGCCGGGCATGTGTTACACTCTCGTCCGACTGCCCCAGGATGATCCCACTGCAGGTACCAAATGGAAGGATAATGTTTTGCATGTGTCGGCCACTTGAATGAATTCTCAAAGAAATGCTGGCTAGGTGCTTAGGATTTGCATTGAATGTGTTAATTTTGTAGGTCTTGCATGTTAGATTCTACCATTGTTTTGTTTTTGTTTTCAAGTGTCAGTGTCACCAGTGTTTGTGTAGGATCTACAGTTAGTCAAAATAATATATACACTTTGAAATACATACAACTACACTGGATGATTGAAAGAAAAATATGTAAAAGGAGGTGGAGCAATGCAGTTAATAATAAGGGGAAACTGAGGTTGTTGCTTTGAGGTTATCAAAGCAGCAAACTGGAAAATATGGACACAGCCTGAAACTAAACACAGGAGCAGAATCAGCCTAATGTTGCCCCTTTTCGACCCGAGCAGCTAGCCAGAGTTTGGGGCCCTGGGGAATGCTGGGAGTAGAAATTGTGGCTAGGTATTTCTTTGACACAGTTTTGTTTGTTACAAAGAATGTACAAAGCCCTACAAGAAGGAATCAAATGGCACGAAACAGCTTCCTTTGCTCACAGCACCAAGAACACTCTTTCAGCCTGCCCACATCCCCTGACCCACAAACCTCTACCCAGGTTTTTTCCGGGGTCAGATGCTGTGCTTTCAGCTGCTCCTTCCATATGGCTACATTGCGCTCTCTCTCTCTCTGGTCTGTCTGTTCTCTGTGTGTTCTGCGCTTGCTCGCGCTTTCTCTCACACCACACCCCACCCCACCCCACCCCACCCCACACCCAATTCTCAGCAAAAGCCCTCTGTCTGAACTCCTGGGTGCGTTTACAACCCCGGTCTTAGGTGGAGGGCTTCTGGTTAACTCATTCTGACCGTTGCATTAATTCAACGGTGTGTTCACTCCTATTCTCAAAGACGTTTGTGATCAATGCAGTCACTGTATGTCTCAGCATAACAGGCCCCACCCCCGTCTTAGCCCCACCCATTGTCCTGTTGGTGCCCAAATGCCCTATGTGGCCCATTCCAAACAGAAAGAAAAACAGTTTAACAAATTACAAATGATACAAAGTTAATTATTTACACAGTTTAGACAAAAGAAATTACGTGCTCTTGATTCTCTCCCCTTTTCCCAGTCGCTTGTACTTTCAGCTGCACAATGAAATTTACAGTCCGAGACTGCAACCCAAACACAGGGGTGCCAGAGGATGATGGCTATGACGATGAATATGTGGTAAGTTCAGTCTTGTTTGCCGCACCTAAAGTGTACGTGTCTTCTTGTCCCTGTGGGATTCTCATCGCTCTGCCGTAGTCTCCTTTTGTGTCTTCCCTGCCCCCCACTCTTTTCTCCTACCCTCCTGCCTGGAACGCGTCCCAAAATCGTTCCAGCTATTCACCCTTTGCCTTGTTCAGATCCCTCCTAAAACCTTGCTTCTGCCAAATCTTTGTGCGGTGACTCCATTTGTGTACTTTAATCTTATTTGAGGGACCCTGTCCAACCCTCCCCCGCCCTATTTTGTTTGCCTGCACTCTTTCTTCTGTCATGTCTACATTCTAGATTAGAAGCTCCCTGTGGCTTAACTCTGTTCAGCGAGGTGCATGTGTTGGCATACACAGTAACTCCTCTGTTCAGCGAGGTGCATGTGTTGGCATACACAGTAACTCCTCTGTTCAGTGAGGTGCATGTGTTGGCATACACAGTAACTCCTCTGTTCAGCGAGGTGCATGTGTTGGCATACACAGTAACTCCTCTGTTCAGTGAGGTGCATGTGTTGGCATACTCAGTAACTCCTCAGTCTTCCCTTGTGCTCTTGGCTTCTTGCAAGGTAACTTCCCCTAGATTTATCATAGGATCTAGAACGTGACCTCCAGTTGTAGTAATTGAGCATGCTTCTTGGATGGCACCTCTACTAGGGAGCTCATTTCACTCACATTTGTATTAAAAGTTTTAAGCCTTGCTAATAAATCCCATAAGCATTACTTTGCCTCTGCTTTCTAGGGCCTTCATGCACATGTTAAACTGCAGCTATCCTGTGAAATGAGTCTAGTGTACTGGAGCTGTACCAGTCATCACTGTAGCCTATGCTGCTGTCTTCCTCCCCGCTCTGTAAGCGTTGGTCTGCACTTCAAGCTGGAGGTGACAGTTGCAGCTGCATAGATGTATGTGCATTAACTCTGGTCAAGCTAGTGTGGTAAAAATAAAGTGTTGCTGTGGTGGTGTGAGCAGTGGGATGGGCTTGCCGCCTTGAGTACAGTCCCAACTGAGACCCTTCTCAGGCAGCTACTCTGCCCCGCCTCAGAGGCTGCACTGCTGTTTTTAGTGCACTAGCTCGATCTGAGCTAGTGTGAGTACATCTGCCCGAGATGGAAATTACACCTCCAGCTCCAAGTGTTAGACGTACCATAAGGTGAAGATCCTTTTGTGTGTGATTCCATGCAGCCTAAATTCTCCCTCGTTTCTCCGCCAGCTGGAAGATCTGGAGGTAACCGTGTCAGATCATATTCAGAAGGTCCTAAAGCCCAACTTCGCAGCTGCCTGGGAGGAAGTAGGCGATGACTTTGAGAAAGAGGAAACCTTTGCTCTCAGTTCAATTAAAACCCTTGATGGTGAGATGATCCCTTCTCCCCCTGGTAACCCAGACGGGACTCTGCCCGGCTGTGGAAACAATGTTTGCGGTGTTCAGGGAAAGACTTTTAATGCTAGTTTAGAAAGATCCTTCTGGGGCCTGGTAAATTTGAGTACCCAGAGTGTGGCAGCTGCATGGCTGTGTGCTGCAGTGATGGGTTTGGAAACTGCACCTCCCCTCTGAAAAGTAGTGGCTTGGGGGAAAGTTGCACTCTTCAGTGACTATTTGTGATGGGGGAAAGAGGTGAGGTAAGGAAAGGTTGGCAGGTCCCTGAGGCCTCACACTCCAGTTAATGAGCTAGATTGGTTATACCCTAAGTCATGCTCAGAACTTATTCTCTAACTGTGAATTAAAGTTTCACAGGAAACTTGGCATCAAAATGTAAACAGACTGTGAAAATAACCTTTTTTTCTCTTTAAACCTCAATGCAGAAGCTGTCGGTAACATCATCAAGTTCCTGGGCATGCAGCCATGTGAGAGGTCCGATAAAGTGCCAGAGAACAAAAATTCCCACACGCTGTATCTAGCTGGTAAGCATCCACCACTGAAGAGTTTGTTTCCATACTCCTTTGCAACACAAACTTATTACACTGCAATTTCCCGGGCGCCAAGAGATTGTGTTCTCAAATACTGAGAGAGAATGGATTACAGAACTATGTACAACAGCATGTTGCCTTTACAGGATGCTGTGTTAGGTGCACCTCAGACTAGACCTTTCCATCCTTTCTTCCCTTGCTGCTTTTTGTCAGCAGGGTGTATTAAACCCCTTTGTGAAAGGACCTGCAGCCAAGATGCTTAAACTAAGCTCCCTACCCATCTCCAGGGGCAGGCCAGAACACCCCAGAGCACTTCTGTTTCCTAGTGCACCTTCTTGCTCACTAAAAACCTGCCCTACCACTCCAGGCACTTGTATTTGGTGAGCACACTCCCCGCTCCTCACACATTTTGGGGATCCATGAAATTGGAAAGACTCAGCTTATTTCTACTCTCTTATTCTATTAACAGTAAAATACAAAACTGCATTAAAACTATAGTATCTACTTCTAAGGGGTCAGATTCTGTATCTGCTCTGTGTACAGAATTCCTAGTGCCTCCAGTGGAAGTTTGGAACACAATCCATAGTTCTGTGCGTGGAGCCCTAACCCTTAGGAAAAAGGGTAATTCTCCAGGGTTGTTTTAATGTCTCTAGGGGCACAGCAGTAGGAGGAAAGGCTACAGTGAGTCCTGACAGGCTCTTCCTTTCTCAGCTGTGGCTTGGAACCCAGAGCAGCTCTGCTTATGGGCATGTAGCAGGAATGATCACTACCTCTTTGGAGTGGCCTGGGCTTCAGGTGCTAGCCCTGTGTTTAATCCACTGTGTCACGCATCTTAAACATGAATCTATTTGACATTAGTAGTCTTTAAGGAGGGTGTCTGTCTGAATCTTGTTACTGGGCTGAAAGCATGTGCTCCATTCTGTAGGTGGCTGCAGCTTTAACTAATTCTTGCATTATCTAGGCTGCGGCTGTCAGGTTCACAGGTTGGGCTTTGAGTCACTGAAGGGTAACTACTGGAGCTATTTCACTGTTAATCTACTCTGCAAAATCCTGCTCTTTGTCCCCAGGTGTGTACAGAGGTGGCTATGATGTGCTGGTGAGATCCAGGCTGGCATTAGGAGATGGAGTGACCATGCAGGTGACTGTCAGGAGCAAGGATGAAACACCAGTAGATGTCATCTTAGCCTCTGTAGGCTAAGTCATGCTATTTTTAATACCCGCAGGGGAATTTCACCTCAAGGATCTCAAACAGCCTGACTCTGTCCTGTCTGACCTTCTGCATGGAGTTTTTATTCTTTGTCATTTTGTATGAGGTTGCAGTAATGGCAGCTCTGGCTCGTCTCTGTAACATACACTTAATGCTGGGTCTCACCCCCACCCTGGTCATCAGTTTTATGTTCCTCTGACTGATTGCATCTGTGGACCTTACAAGACTTGGTAGGGGATAAAACCAAACTGGAATCAGACTTTTGTCAAAACGGATTTTTATTAACAGAAAATAAACATTGATCATTCCAGTTCCAAGTTGTGGAATTTTAGTTGAATTGTTGCTAATAAAATAGAATCTTTAAAAGTTTTGCCATAGCAACTGCTAGTATAGTATTGTTGATCACTCGGGAGAATAACTCTGCCAGCTGGGTTGACCACTGATAAATCTCAGTTCAGTACAGCACAAGCAGCCCATCTTGGAAACCTTTCCTCTTGATGGGATGCTAGAAACTAGAAATCTGGTCAGTTGCAAAAAGCAGTGGTTCTCAGTCCCCCTGCCAACTTGGCTTTACAATCAATTTTGTAATCTTTCTGCCTCTGGTGCTGTGTGAAAGCCATACAACCTCGATGTTGGACCAAACACCTAAAGTTTAGAAGTATGACATGACTTCAGTTCTGAACCTTCAGCCTAAAATTGAGTTAAATACGGTCCCTTTTAAGGGGAGGACTTGCAACTCTTTAGGAAAGATACGACTTTCCGGAGTATGAGGTCGCATAAAGTCTCTGTATGCAGCATAGCCAGTACTTCAGGTTTTTTTAAACTTGTTTTTAATATCTTTTATAATTCCCTGTGGTTTTAGGTAGTTATTGCTTTAATATTGGCAATCAGTCTTAGCTTAACAATCCTATGTGTATACTACACAATTTATCTGAAAATAACACTTCAAGTAAAGAGCCCTCTTGACTTTATGCTACAGTAGAGCACATCTCTTCCAAGACACACTGGTGAGGCTACAATGCATTTTAATTTGCACCTTGTTATTGCATTATGGAGTGGAGTACTAATAACAGAGGTTAGGTGGTTAAGGAAACTTGCCTTTTAGGACTGTTCCACACTTACATTTTACTGGCACAACGGGGTTAGTCAGGGGAGATGCTGTGCTAGTAAAAGCCCTTCTGTAGACAGTTCTACCAAGATGAGCACTCACACCACAGTATAACTATTCACAAGAAGGGGATTTTGCTGCCCTAACTAGAGCAGTATAGTCAATGTGTAGACAAGCCCTTCAAAGGAAGAATTAGGTAACAAGGCCTGCCAACTAATTATTAGTTCACATCTTTATAATGTAGGTATTTTCCCATTTTAAAGCTTGTCTATAGAGTAGCTCAGTTAAATGCACTTTCAGAGAAGAGAAGGATCTACTGTGCCGCTTACTGTTCTGGAAACAAACTAATTGGCATGTGGTTGCAAATGGGGTACTGGCTTCCTGGGATACGCTGGGCTTCTTCTGGCCCAAGGACAGGAAAGGAGTCTTGGAATAGTATGATTAGCAATGCCATCCCTCCTCCCCACCACTAGTTCCCAACTGTGCCCTCTGGCCTAGCAACTACTATCCGTATCCTGTAACTTCCCTTGGATGTGCACGTTGTCTTTCACGCCTCCCTTTAGGTTAATCCTTCCCAGTGTTCAAAGGTTCAGTTCCTTACACATATACAGTAGTCTAACATACCCAAAGGTCACTCTGCACAGAACAGGAAAGTTAAGGGTCAGGTCTGGAAATAAAAGCACGCTGGCTCATAAAGTAAACAACACTGAGCCAAAGCATGAGAGGGAAAGACCACGTTGCTGCTCAGAAGGAGTTGATGAAGTTCAAATATGCATTCAGGAAGCCCATAGGATCTTCAAGCTGTGGATAGTGGCTAATGTGGTCATCCAGAACAGAGACTGTAGACATAGGAAGCAGTTTCCTGTTGAAAGAATGCAACAACTAGTAACTGCATGCTCCATAGAGAGGCAGGCACCAAATCTGAAGTACAGGGAGTGGAGTAGACAAGTAATCGGACTAAGCTTCAAGAGGTGGAGTGGTCCCTACAACTGCAATAAGATCTCTTGTGATCCTGTGTGGCCATTCTTAACCAAAGGGGGACCTCCAGTAGCATGGGCATTACATTATCACCCACTTAGGCTGCATGCTTTGATATCACTCCTGTAGTTTTTGCCAGGCACTGTGCCAAAAAAAATCAAGTGGAATATAAATACTGTACTGACATTTCAGTGTATAGTAGGGACATAGAAACAAGTTATTGTCTGCATTACATTTTAGTCTGTACTAGGGCTGTCAAGCGATTAAAAAAATTAATCGCATTGTTAAACAATAGAATACCATTTCTTTAAATAGTTTTGGATGTTTTCTACATTTTTAAATATATTGATTTCAATTACAGTTCTGAATACAAAGTGTACAGTGCTCACTTTATATTATTTTTATTACAAATATTTGCACTGTAAAAATGATATCGTATTTTTCAGTTCACCTCATACAAGTACTGTAGTGCATTCTCTATTGTGAAAGTGCAATTTACAAATGTAGATTTTTTTGTTACATATTGAACTAAAAAACAAAACAGTGTAAAACTTTAGAGCCTACAAGTCCCAGTCCTACTTCTTGTTCAGCCAATCGCTAAGACAAACAAGTTTGTTTATATTTACGGGAGATCCTGCTGCCTGCTTCTTATTTACAATGTCACCTGAAAGTGAGAACAGGGCGTTCACATGGCACTTTTGTAGCCAGTGTTGCAAGGTATTTACGTGCCAGATACGTTAAACATTTGTATGCCCCTTCATGCTTCGGCCACCATTCCAGAGGACATGCTAATGATGCTTGTTAAAAAAATGATGCATTAATTACTTAGTGACTGAACTCCTTGGAGGAGAATTGTATGTCTCCTGCTCTTTTACCGGCATTCTGCCATATATTTCATGGTATAGCAGTCTCAGATGATGACCCAGCACATGTTGTTCGTTTTAAGAACATTTTCACTGCAGATTTGACAAAACGGGAAGAAGGTACCAATGTGAGATTTCTATAGAGAGCTACAGCACTCGACCCAAGGTTTAAGACTCTGAAGCACCTTCCAAAATCTGAGAGGGACGAGGTGTGGAGCAACACTGATGTGGAAACTACAGAACCCGAACCACCAAAAACTACTCTGAAACCAAAAAAAAAAAAAAAAATCAACCTTTTGCAGGTGGCATCTGACTCTGATGATGAAAATGAACATGAGTCAGTCTGCACTGCTTTGAATCGTTATCAAATAGAACCCGTCATCCGCATGGATGCATGAATCTTTAGCGCAGCTGGCACGTAAATATCTTGCAACTCCGGCTACAACAGTGCCATGCAAATGCCTATTCTCACTTTCAGGTGACGTTGTAAACAAGAAGCGGGCAGCATTATCTCTTGCAAGTGTAAACAAACTTATTTGTCTGAGCGATTGGCTGAAGTAGGACTGAGTGGACTTGTAGGCTCTAAAGTTTTACATTGTTTTGTTTTTGAATGCAGTTTTTTTGTACATCATTGTACGTTTGTAAGTTCAACTTTCATGATAGAGACTGCACTACAGTACTTGTATTAGGTGAATTGAAATTTTTTTTTACAGTGCAAATATTTGTAATAAAAAAATAAGTGAACACTGTACATTTTGTATTCTGTATTGTAATTCAAATCAATACATTTAAAAACGTAGAAAAACATCCAAAATATTTAATAAATTTCAATTTCTATTCTGTTTAACAGTGCGATTAAAACTGTGGTTAATTGTGATTAATTTTTTTGAGTTAATCACGAGTTAACTGATTAAACAACAGCCCTAGTAGTAGTAGTAGTAGTAGTAATAATAATAATTAATGGAGATATCCCATCCTCCGAGAACTGGAAGGGACCTTGAAAGGTCATCAAGTCCAGCCCCCTGCCTTCACTAGCAGGACCAAGTACTGATTTTGCCCCAGATCCCCAACTGGCCCCCTCAAGGATTGAGCTCACAACCCTGGGTTTAGCAGGCCAATACTCAAACCACTGAGCTATCCCTCCCCCCCAGTTTGCACTCACTGTGCTAGTGCTTTTTATGTAGCCTGTTGTAAAACTAGGCAAATAGCTAGATGAGTTGATGTACCCCCAGGGGTACATATACCCCTGGTTGAGAAGCACTGCCTTACAGTCTGGGTTGTAGTTTGATGATACACCATATGGGTTCTAGGGTAGTCCGATGTCCCTTAGACTGAGTGAGAGCCCAACTAAAGCGTCCACTGCCAGAAACAACCCCAGGGAGAGAGCTGCTCATTCAATTTATAGCAAAGGTCTCACACTTTTCAGGCATGTTTTACTTAATCATTACTAGGGAGGGCTGGAACAATCCTAGTCATTAGATCAATTACAAATTTCAGCTCCTGCTCAGACTATATTTTATCCCAAATCTATTCCTTAGCTGAATCCCCACCAGACTGGAACTCTCATCTGCCCTTGACAGATTCTTCCAAACTAACTTAAATTCTCTTTACAAATACACATTCAGCCCAGGGAGATTTCCAGTTATTCCTGGTTAGGTACTGAAACACTCTGAAAAGTTTCATGATCTCATACAGAGATGAAAAAAAGTCTAACGCTGTCATTTTCAAATGAATGATTAGTTCAGATCCTAAACTCAAGTCATCTAAAATGAGTGGTGTTTTGAGAAGTACTGAAACTACCACAGCAACCGGTGACTTCCAGTGCTTTCAATAAAGCAGCCACTGCATCAAAAATGTGACCATGAGACTGACCTGTAGAGCTGAAGAAACTCGGGATATGGATTCACGGGATCCAAGGGCCCATAGATTAGATGCACTGCAAACGGGAAGAACACAAACAGCTTCCATCCACAAAGTTGTCCACATGCACAGTACCTTTACCCATGCAAGAAATCCCTCATTAAAGCCAGCAGCACTGAAGATGCGAGAACCTTTCTGCCTTGAAAGTATATTCTCAAAAAGGCACAATGAATGTTTACAAGTAGTCTGAGGGGGTATTGTTCACTAGGTTGTGCGGTGGCCAGGACAGCAGGCATCGGGCACACAGCTTATGCTTAAATAAATGTGTTAGTCTCTAAGTTGCCACAAGTACTCCTCGTTCCTTTAGCTGTACATAGGACTTGAGGGGGGTGAGAGTTCAGTGCTCCTGAAAGTGACAGGATTGATTAGTTGTGTCAAGCATGTGCCTTGCAGTTTCCCCCTAGATAGTCAAAGTGTAACCTGCAAGGCTGGGCTGAGTGCACAGACTGCACACAAGTGAAAACGCAAGAGTGAGACCTTTGCACGCTGAAGAGGAAAGTCAGGCCCTTAAGGGCTTGTCTGCTCACATAGACGGTAAACACTTCATACCAAGACAGTTAAAGCAGCACAACCCCCTTAGGGTGGGTAAAGTTCTTGGTATAAAGGTGCCTCCTTGAGCTATACGCTTATTTCTGTACAGGAATGAGAGCAAGTTATCCCAGTATAAGGCACCTTTGTACCAAAGCAGCTGTGGCCAGTAGGCGTTTTACTGCTTTAACTGGAATCAGTTTAAAAAAAAAGTCTCCCCCCAACCATAATAGTACTGGTACCAAACCCAAGCACAGCCCAGGCCTGACTTCCTCAGCCCTAGCTCAAGAGTGCAGAACGAGCACGCTGTGAGCAGCTTCAGATGCCCACCCAGAGCTCTAAAGGAATCTCATTTTTCCTTGCCAAGGGCAGCTCCCTTATACTTTGCACTGCTCTAGCCCTTTTCCCCCGTGGATCTCAAATCCTCCAAGGTAGATGTGGGGTTCACAGAGGTTCTCCACCCTCCACTGAAATGCAGCCATCTCAGGGGGCTGGGGGATGATATTGCAGCCGTTTAACAGAGCAGTTGAAGGTGGGGAATGACAATACACTGGGAGAATACACTAAGTCGGATTGTAACATTCCTAATGTCCTTCCCCAAAGCACATTACACCCAGCTAAGCAACTGTCTCAGCAAGCTCCCTCCTCCCCACCTAACAAGACTAATCCGATTAAACAAATGACCTACAATAAAGTCACAGGAAGCGCTAGAGGGGAGGCTAGAGGAGATTGAAGATGCTTCTCTATCTTTAAGGCAGGTTCCTTTGAAATGAACATCCCCACCCCAAACAGCACCCAACCTTTCCCTGGGGGCCTGAAGAGTCTCCCAAGTGTGAGGAGTGCCTAGGCTTTTCAGGGCAAACCTGACACCCCCACTAGGTGTTAGAGATCTGCAGTAGGATCTAAGGTGCCTCAAAGGAATTGGCTTACACAAGAATTAGACTGGTTACAATCCTGCCACTGGCTCCCCAGTGCCTGTGGATCAAGTTCAAGCTCCTTGTCCTCGCACTCCAAGCTCTATCACTCATTCCCCTCCCTGGACCACGGCTGCCAGCCTTTGTTCCCTTCTCCCACTCCCGTCTGTGCATGCGTCCACACTACTGGCCCTCCCTAAACCGCTTCACCACATCGTCCCCATGGCTCATTCAAATCCCTTCCAAGAACTCACTTCTGCCATGGCATTTACAACTAGCAGTAGACAGCAAGCAGGGCTGATATCCTGGCAACGCCAGCAGGGGCCCTTGGGTCCCAGTCCCTGCATTTGGCAACTCCAACAAGGATGTGTAGAAAAAAATCCAAGTGGTAAGGGACAGTCCTGCAAGGGGGCAAACCTACACTCCAGTGTCACATGGGACTAAAATCCTGGCTGGTCCCAGTGTGAAAGTGGAAAGGTCTTGCATCAAGCGCCGTGCTTGGAGGCTTGGACTCTGCAGGCCAGTTACGACACTGGTCAAGGTATTTTCCCAAACTAATAACTCAAAGGAAACTATTTCCTACTTACATGGAACAGAGGTGGATGTCAGAGCCCCAACCCAACGGTCTCTGTGCTTCTTTCTTTGATTTATATACTGTAAAATACTAAAGAACAAGTGACTTATTAGAGAGATGACAGGGCTTGATCAAACAAAGGGACATTTTAAGCCCACACTTTCAGAATTGGTCTAACAAGGATTAGCAGTAAAGACCTGCCCACGATCATGTCATCCAACAGCAGCACAGAATCAGATTGGAATCTGTGTCAGTTACCTGGACAGGCTGCAGGTAACCAAAGAGCAGTATTTTCCTCTCTTCGCCTCTCCCCATGACTCTGTAGTGCTGGTGAAAGCTGCTGGATTCAGAAGCCTGGAGACTGAAATCTTCTGTCCCCAGAATAGGTGCAGGCATCCCTCTTACTGCTCAGAGGGCACGTCTCAACCCTGCCCTGGAGAAACGAGCTCTAAATGGTAGAGGGAACTTCTGTCTCCAGGGCCACGCAGGCCTTGGTCTCTCTGCTGAGATTGCCATTATGTGCTGTGGTCATGTGTCCCCTAGGATTGGACTGAGACCAAAGAGCAAAGCTGCCCTACACTGAATTCTGCTGGGCCACATCAAGCATTAGTTCTCCAGGCCAACAAGATTCAGGGAGCTCCCTACCCGGAACCCAGGGAGCCAGGAGCCTCAGTGCAGCCGGGCTGCCAGCGGGGAACAGAGAACCTGGGCAGTTACCCAGCTCGGAGCCCGAACGGCAGCCCAGCTCGGAGCCAGAGCCAGGAGTCCAGGCAGCAGCCCAGTGGGGGGAACAGAGAGACTGGGGAGCAGCCTGGCTGGGAGCAGGGAGCCCGGCGGCAGCCAGGCTCTAAGCCCCCACCTGCCCTGGGATGACAGCCCAAGCTGGGAACCTGGTTTTCTTATCCATATCACAGCTCCAGCAGGATGCCATGAAATTGACAAGAATGACTGCGGACATAACCCACAGTGTCTACAGATACTGTGTCGCCCTAACTACACCGACATAAGCCCTACGCCTCTCGTGGAGGTGGAGTTAGGATGTCGGTGTAGTCGGGCACTTACGTCAGCAGGAGCAAGGCTGTAGCACGTACACCGACATAATTAGGTCGACAGAAGCTGCCTTACGTCGACCTGACTCTGTAGCATAGACCAGGCCCGAGTCATGGGACTGGACCTTGGGCCTCAGTGATACCAACAGTAAATGGGGATAATGGTACCAACTGACCCTGCTGACGTACTTTAGCTCCACGTTACAGAAGTACAAACCTGCTTTTAAACGTACCAGACTCACCTATCATTTCCACATATGCAGCTTGATTACCACTGTGAAGCACCAACTCCCTCCTCACATGCCCCTGGGCTGCAGGCCGAGGGCAGTAACTGAGCTCACAGTATTGGTTACCACAAGGCTGCTTTAAAAAAAAACCCCAAGTGCTCTATTCCAGCCATCAATGCAACACTAGGAATCCAACATCTGAAATGAGATCTCTCTACTGTGCTGGCATTCTTGTACTGCCTCAATGGAGGAAACGGAGTTGCAGACAGATCTGAAAACTCTGGGGTTCATATTACAGGCAGTACACTGGGCTCTGTGTTGCCTTTTCACCAAGGTAGGAAGTGGTTTCAATTTACTACAGAAGAGGACATGGTAGTAAGGCACCTTCACAGGGAGAGGGCGTGTGAGAGAGGAAATATAATCACAATATTTGGATCTCTCTCTCTTACTGTTAAAACGTTAACTCCAAATACTTCTAAACCCCCCTCCTCTCAGTGACAGCCAGCTACTCAGAGCCAGGGCTCTCGATCTGAGAGCTGCAATGCTGTTTTACAAGGGCCACAACATTTTTTTACAGGAACTAAAACTTGCATTTTAAAAACAAGGTTTCCAGTTCTGGTTGCAGAGACCCATCCAAACATGGGCATCCACATTAGTTAGGTTTACTGAACATAGAGCGCCAGGGAGTGAAAAATTCACATCACGATCGGCCAAAATCCACGGAAAGTCCTCAGTACCTAATGCAGGGCAGGAGATGTGAATGGGGTTTCTAGACTATGAACCTGGCTCACAAAACCCACTCTGCTCCCATCCCTGCCTTGTCTTGGCTGCATTGGACTTAACTAGCAGAACTGGATGATGTAGCCATCTGGGCCAATCCCAATAATCCTCTTTCACCCTCCTCCTTTGGTCAGGGCTCAAATCCTACTAAAAGAAGCTAGATTTACTATAAACAACCAATTGCAGTATAGCCAGTTCCCGTTTACTGAAGGCTATCTATCTGGGCCATGGTTAGAGAGTTAGTCTGGTTCTTCCGTCCTCCAGCAATGGAGGCATGCAGTACACCACAGCAGGGACGGGCAACGCAGGCACCGTGACAAAGCAACGTTCAGCTGGGAAGGTAAATGCACAATGAACATTCAATCATAATGCGACAGGAGAGATTTCTGCACTGAATTTCTTGTTAAAATGTTGAATCAAGTTACATGCTAAGGAGACGTGACAGGAATATATTGCAATGCATGTGCCAAGTGTGCAGAACTCCAGCTACACACACACACACACACACACACACACAAGTTAGTACAGGTGCAAATTTGCTAGTTCTGCTCAAACGTAACTTACTAGGAAAGGCACCTTTAACGGTGTCCTTTCAAAGGTCTCCTTTAGGTTGTTTTTCCTCTTCCCTCTTATCATCCTACTTAATATATCTTCAAAGTGCATTACAGACACTGGCTTATTTGCCTTCAAGGGAGTGAAGTATGTATTAGCCCCATTCCTTAGATGTAGAAAATGAGACAGTAGTTAGAGATGAGCAGCAGAGGAAAAAGTCATTGGGTTTCTTCCCCATTTTGTTTCCTCATTATATATACTGAAGGCCTGAAAGGGATTATTACTAATTTTATTAATAAAAAGGGTATTTTTCTTGGGGGGGAGGTTACATTTTTCCTAGAAGACACTAGGCATGACTAGAGAACTAGTAGATTTATGCCGAAGATACCGCAGAAGTGAAATCCAATTAACTGAGGAGGGAGGTGATTTTTATTCTGATTACAACTTTTGCTTGTTTCCTTTCATTAACACGTATTTGACTCAAACGCCTCCTGAACAAACAGCTGGAAGAAAAGCTCTTGCGTTGATGATTTAATACTCCCTTCCCCGTTACTGATTAAACTGAGGGCCAAGACAGCTCCCATTCCACATCTCTGTGTTGTCCAAGAAAAGCCTCCAACCAAACCAGGGAGGACCAAACTTGGCAGCCGTTATTCAAAGGTAAACCACAAGCAGGAACCCCCTCACTTATTCTGAAGAAAAATAAAGTCAAGCTACATACATCATACATGAGCAAGAAAAAAAGCACAAGCCCATTTCCCCCCCTTGGGCTAGTTTAAATTGACTTGTCCAAAGCCACAGAAAAAGTCAGTGGCAGAGCTAGATCTCAGGCATTCCTGGCCCCCAGATCACACTTTGGTACTTTCCATCATCCACACGAATGTTCATGCAATTTTACCACTCCTATAGAGCAGAGCTTGTCAAATTCTTTCACAGTGTGGACCACGCCTCAGATCTTCCTGTGGACCACCTCCTCCCCTCCCCATTCACAACTGCATGGCCCAGCTCCTCTCCAAACCTCAATCCCATTTATAGCTGGGCAACATCCACATGCCAACAGCTACGCTGGCTAGTACAGATAGCCTAGCCTCTCCTCCTTGATTCCAGCTATTTCTATAGGTATTCAGGGTCTTCTTTCACTGCCTGGAGGAGGACTCAAGGAAGACAAAGCCTTTGTGGAGACACTAAATGAATTATTTGCATCAGTCTTCATTCCAGAGAATGTGAGGGAGAGTCCCACACCTGGGCCATTCTTTTTAGGTGACAAATCTGAGGAACTGTCGCAGATTGAGGGGTCAAGAGAGGTGGTTTTGGAACAAATGGATAAATTAAACAGTAATAAGTCAACAGGACAAGAGGGGATTCACCCAAGAGTTCTGAAGGAACTCAAATGTGAAACAGCAGAATTACTAACTGTGGTATGTGAACTTTCGCTTAAATCAGCCTCTATACCAGATGACTAGAGGGTAGCTAATGTAAGGCCAATTTTTATAAAAAGCTCCAGAGGCAATCCTGGCAATTACGGGCTGGTAAACCTAAGATCAGTACCAGGGCAAATTGGTTGAAACTATATTGAAGAACAGAATGATCAGACACATCGATGGACAGGCTATGTTGGGGAAAAGTCAACACAGCTTCTGTAAAGGGAAATCATGCCTCACCGATCTATAGGAATACTTTGAGGGGGTCAATAAGCAGGTGGACAAGGGTGATCCAGTTGACACAGTGTTCCTGGACTTTCAGAAAACCTTTGACAAGGTCTCACATCAAAGGCTCTTAAGCAAAGTGACCTGTCATGAGATAAGAGGGAAGGTCTTCTCATGGATCAGTAACTGGTTAAAAGATAGGAAACAAAGGGCAGGAATAAATGGTCAGTTTACAAAATGGATAGAAGTAAATAGCAAGGCCCCCCAAGGATCTGTACTGGGACCTGTGCTGTTCAACGTATTCATAAATGATCTGGAAAAGAGGGTAAACAGCGATGTGGCAAAGTTTCCAGACGATACTAAATTACTCAAGATAGTTAAGTCCAAAGCTGACTAAGGCTAGGTCTACACTACCCGCCTGAATCGGCGGATAGAAATCGATTTCTCGGGGATCGAATTATCGCGTCTCGTTGGGACGCGACAATCGATCCCTGAATCGACACGCTTACTCCACCAGCAGAGGTAGGAGTAAGCGCCATCGACAGGGAGCCGCGGAGGTTGATTTTGCCGCCGTCCTCACAGCGGGGTAAGTCGGCTCCGATACGTCGAATTCAGCTACGCTATTCGCGCAGCTGAATTTGCGTATCTTAAATCGACCCCCCCCCGTAGTGAAGACCTGCCCTAAGAGGTCTTATAAAGGGATCTCACAAAGCTGGGTGACTAAGCAACAAAATGGCAGATGACATTCAATGTTGATAAATGCAAAGTAATGCACATTGGAAAAAAATAATCCAAACTATACATACAAAATGATGGGGTCTAAATTAGCTGTTACTACTCAAGAAAGATCTTGGAGTCACTGTGGACAGTTCTCTGAAAACATTTCCTCAATGTGCAGCAGCAGTCAAACAAAGCTAACAGAATGTTAGGAACCATTAGAGAAGGGATAGATAAGATGACAAAATAGAATGCCATTGTATAAATCTATGGTATTCCCACACCTTGAATACTGTGTGCAGTTCTGGTCGCCTCATCTCCAAAAAAGATATTAGAATTGGAAAAGGTACAAAGAAGGGCAACAAAAATGGTTAGGGGAATGGGATAGCTTCCATAGATGGAAAGATTAAAAATACTGGGACTGTTCATCTTAGAAAAGAGACGACTAAGGGGGGGGGAATATGACAGAGATCTATAAAATCATGCATGATGTGGAGAAAGTGAGTAAAGAAGTGTTATTTACCCCTTCACATAACACAAGAACCACCCAATAAAATTAATAGGCAGCAGGTTTAAAACTAACATAAGGAAGTACTACTTTACACAATGCAGAGTCAACCTGTGCAACTCATTGCCAGGGGGTTAAAAAAATTAGATAAGTTCATGGAGAACAGTTATTAGCCAAGATGATCAGTGACAAACCCCATGCTTCAGGTGTCCCTAAGCCTCTGACTGCCAGAGCTGTGACTGGACGACAGGTGATGGATCACTCGATAAATGCCGTTTTGTTTATTCCCATGAAGCACCAGGCATTGGCCACTCATGTGTTCTTATGTGACCAGGCAGCTCTCTGCAGACCACCAGTAAGTGCTCCATGGCTCTCAGTTTGGAAATACAGGGATGAGCTGGTGCGAGACATCAACAGGCAAGGAAATTAGAGAGCCACATACCTGTCAACAACAAGGTTTCCATCATTTGTCCGGATTGCTGTCCACATGTCCCAGTATTCCGCCGCTGAAGGCTGCGTATACGGACCAAAGACTGCTCCAAGTCTGAAAACAAATTCAGAGAGGCATGAAGATCTTTACAGCGTGTATCCCCTCCTGAAATAAACAGGATATAACATCACTTAATACCAGACACAAAAACTAGTTTCAGGGCAAAAGTGTCAAATGATTACAAGATTCGTTTGTAAAATACACAATCTTGGAGCCCCCCAAATTATCCAAATTAAAAGGACAGTGTCAAATTTAGCAGTGATCCCGAAGTGGGGAAAAGAAAGGTGTTTCAGAGCATCTAATATGAATAGAAATGTTTGTTCTAATTTCAATGAATTGTTTGTGGGAGGGGACAGTCATTTTGTTGTTGTCGATCCCCATGCAGCGCTGGAAAACCAAGTACAACAGCATTGTAATAGTGTGAAAACCAACTGTGCATCTCTAATGTCCTTGCTGAGTGGTGGGGGTGAGCGGAAAGAGGGAAATCTCATTTATTTAGGTCACATCTGAAAAACCTCAACCTAGTAAACTGCATGGGACCCACCACAGAAAGGGGGCATCTGAAGTCAAATCCCAGTGGGATCAAATGGCTCTAGGCCAGTGGTCACCCACGATCGACGGGTCGATCCTGGAGCCTCTGCCAGTTGATCGCGATCTCCAGTGCTAAAAGTCTGGCGGCGCAGTGGAGCTCAGGTAAGCTGCCTGTCTGCTGTGGTCCCACGCAGCTCCCAGAAGTGGCTGGCTGCTGGCACGTCTCTGCGGCCCCGCGGGAGCGTGGGGGGGTGTGTGAGATGGCTCTGCGCGCTGTCCCCGGCTCCCCGGGGCCACAGAGACGTGCCAGCAGCCAGCCACTTTGGGGAGTGGCGTGGGGCCACAGCAGGCCAGGAGCCACCTGTGCTAAGCGCCTCCCGGCCAGAGCCTGCACCTCAAACCCCCTCCTACACCCCTGCCCCAGCCTGGAGCCCCCTCCTGCACCAAACTCCCTCCCAGATCCCACACCCCTCACCTCCTCCTGCACCAGCCCGGAGCCCCCTCCTGCACCCAAACTCCCTCCCAGAGCTTGCACCCCTCACTCCTGCACCCCAACCCCCTACCTCAGGCTCAGCCCGGAGCCCCCTCCCACACTCCAAACCCCTCGGCCCCAGCCCAGAGCCTGCACCCCCTCCCGCACCCCAAGCCCTTGCCCCAGCCCGGTGAAAGTGAGTGAGGGTGGGGGAGAGCGCGCGACGGAGGGAGGGGGGAATGGAGTGAGCGGGGTGGGGACTCGGGGGGGGGGTAGATCCTGGGTTGATCTTAAATTCAAAAAGTGATCTTGTGTGGAGAGCCCTGATCTAGGCATTCTGAACCTAGGGTGAAATCCTGGCTCTAATGAAGTTAATAGCAAAACTGCCACTGACTTCAGGAAGGTGAAGGTTTCATCCTTAATGCTTAAGCCATAACTCTGTGTGGCTACAGATGAGGGAATCCTGGGACTTTTCCTGTTCCAAGTCCTGACTGATGTGTCTTTAAAGGGGTTATATTTGTTGTTTGCAGGCAGCATCTTTAAGAATCATAGAAATATAGGTCTGGAAGGACATTGAAAAGTCATCTACTCCAGCCCCATACACTGAGGCAGGACCAAGTAAATCTAGAGCTTATCCAACCGGTTCTTAAAAACCTCCAATGACAGGATTCCACAACCTCCCTTATAATTAGAAAGTAGTTTCTAATATTTAACCGAAATCTCCCTGGCTGCAGGACTTTTCGTCCTAGCTTACTGGACACGGAGAACAATTAATCACGGTCCTCTTTATAACAAACCTTAACACATTTGACCACTGTTATCAGGCCCCCACCTCAGACGTCTTTTCTCAAGACTAAACATGCTCAGGTTTTTTATACTTTCCTCACGGGTCAGCTTTACTAAACCTTTAATCATTTTTGTTGCTCTCCTCTGGACTCTCCCATTTGTCCACACCTTTCCTAAAGTGTGGTGCCCAGAACTGGACACAGTTCTTCAGATGAGGCCTCACCAGTGCGGGACAATCACCTCCCATGTCTTATATACGACACTTCTGCTAATGGACCCCAGAATAATATTGGTCTTTTTTGCAACTGCATCATATTATTGGCTCATTCAGTCTGTGATGCAATATAACCCACAGCTATTTTTCAGCAGTACTACCACCTAACCAGTTAGTCTCTATTTTGTAGTTGTGCATTTGACTGTTCCCTCCTGCTTTGCACTTATCTTTACTGATTTTTATCTTGTTGATTTCAGACCAGTTCTCCAATTTGTCAAACTCGTTTTGAATTCTAACACTGTGCTCCAAAGTCCATGCAACACTTCCCAGTTTGGAGTCAGCCACAAATTTTATAAGCATACTTTCCATTCATTCTCCAATTCATCAATGAAAAGACTGAATAGTACTGGACCCCTATGGGACCCCAATAGATATATCCCCCCAGTTTGAACTATTGATAATGACTCTGAATGGTCTTTCAACCAGTTTTGCACCCACTCTAGAGTAATTTCATCTAAAACCACATTTTTCTAGTTTTCTTAGGACAATGTTGTGGGACCTAGTGTAAGGCACCAAATCAGAAAGGGAAATACGTTGTTTAGACATGAACAGTGCTTCCAAGTAAAGTCTGTCTCAACTTCAGAATATCTTCAGCATAATATGGTGCATCTGCCTACCACCGATGAACTGGATGGAACGACAGTGAGCGACTGTCCTCTACTGGATGGAACATGCTCAAGTATATGTGAACAAGTAGCCATCTAGTAACTACAGCCTATAGAGGATGCATGACTTAATACTTTTATACGAGTATTTCCTGGGTTATACTCCTACCTAATCTATATACTTGGCACAACAAGGTTGTCCCCTACAGTGTGTGTAGTGCTCAGAACACCAACTCACCCTCTTGAGAAGAAGTAGTAGTTCATTAGCCGGGTGATGATGGGGGACAGCGGGCCACCATCCTTGAGAATCTTTGGCAGAAGAAAGGAGAAAAAGGCCATTAAATGCCATATAGGCAGCAATGACTCCTTGCCTGTTCAGGGGGCCTTTCCTACAGAGCTACCAGGCCCCCATGAGCCAGCAGTCTTACAGAACCACCGTTTCCCCACAATCACTGAAGTAAATCCATTATTACTGCTAGATTTTTCAAAGTTATTAACACACGGAACCAAAGCACCTTCAGCCATTGATCTCTTTAGGCCATTTGAACCTCAGATCAAAGACACTAAGGCCAAGACTTGAGAAAATGACTAGGCACCTAGTAACCAGAAGGCAATAAGATTATTTTTGTTTTTGTTTTTGAGGAGGTGTCAGGGAAGGATAAGCAGCCTTGTTCGGGTGAGCAGCTCACCCATCACTAATGAGAATGGGAAAGGTGATGGGATTCCTACCAGAAGCTCCATCTTTCACATCAGCACCTGGACAGTCGGTGTTTGATAAATCTGAATCCCTTCCCCCTTCCAAGTCCCACCTGCTTGTTACTGTACGGAAAAGGAGTATTTCCAGTCCCTCTTTCCAGCCTCCCACCCCAGAACCTGCTAGTTACTGCAAAGAGCGAAGGTGTCCACTCGTCTACCTCTCCCCCTGCTGTCTGGCTGCTGCATTGGGGAGACATCTGTTTCTCTGCCCCCTCCCCCAGTGAGTTCCAATGCCTGCCTTTGCTGCTGCTCAGAGCCATCCTAGCTACTGCCGCTCGTGGAGGTGGTTGTATGATGTTGACAGGAGAGCGGTCTCCCATCGGCGTAGAGCAGTTACACGAGCGATCTTATAGAGGTGCAGCTGCACCGGGGAGTTCGCTAGTGTAGACGTGGCCTGAATAATTGCTCCCCCCTTAACTGCACCTAAACGTTTACATGCAGTAATTTTAAGTAAGCCAACAAATTATAGTAGCTGGAAAAGGACACATTCTAGGACAAAAAACCGGCACACACACAAACTCATGCCTAGAAGTTTTATGCGCGATACTTGAGTCCAGATTTCATAGAACTAGAGACAAAAGCAGCTCACCTTCTGAATGAACCGGGGGTAATGAGTTTCTGGGAAAATACCTGAAAGCGTTTCAGAAAACAGACACTGCAGTTACTTAATTGTGCTCTGACATTTCCCAGTCTCCCCCCACCTGTGCAGCCTCAGCGAATGCATTTGCTGACAGCCAGATACAAATACCTCACATGGGGATGGCCGAAGTCTTTTTTTTTTTTTTAAACACCTCTTACTAGAATTTATTTTTGTGCTTGGCAGAGGCAGCGATGCCACTGTTATAGGCTACAAATGCCATCAAGGCACTGAACCAGCCAAGTCAGGACAGGCACCTACTCTCCCAAAGAGTGGCCAAAAACATGTCATAAAGAAGGGAAGAAATTCTTACTGCTCAGTGGCAGCACCATTCAGAAATGTGCCACAATAGAGACTGTCTGCCCTTACAAGCTGCATGAACAGGATCAATCTGCTACTAATAAAACAACGGCGGGAGACGTATCTGTTGTCCAGTTTAATCAGCCTTCCTATGTTCTATAACCAGCCATTCCCCCCCTTTCCCCACTTAAGAGTGAATTTTAGTGTTGTGAAAGGTCCTGCACTGACAGCACTGAAACCTTCCACTAACCCATAGAAAAGGGAGAGCTGTGAAAGCGTCCCCCCACTGCTACACCAGTGTGCCTAATCCCTGGCCTGGAGGGACCCCCTCTGTGGGTCAGAGGGGGGTTCAGTCTCTATTGCCCATTCAGCCCTTGGCACTGCGATGAGACTGCCCACAAAGGGAGCAGTTAGTCTCAATGGTGATGTAGGCACCGATATCAGGGAAGTGGATCAAGACCCACCAATTCATTCTGCACAGATCACGTTACTCTAAGCATAACAGTTACCTCCATTGGATAAACAGAGGCTGTTGATCAGAACACATCCAGTTTTATTGTGTTCATACCTGGAGAACAAAAGACAAGGCTGAATGAAACTGGAGTGATTCTCAGCCAATTCCAAGAAGTGACTGACCAACAGATTGCAGGAATATCGCCATTTATTAAAACGTAATCCAGGATGCGAAGTAACCCATGAGACGCGATTTCAAAAGTAGCATAGGAACAGCAGTGTCAAAGTACTCCCTACAGCTCTCCTTCACTGTACAGCTCATTCACACGGCAATAATCACTGCTGAGAGAGTAAACAAGGCCTTCTCTAATGCATGCTTTATGAAATGATCTCAGCAGCCTTGGGGAAAGTCCTCTCTCCCTGGATCTCAAGAGGGATACAGAAAATAGGCACACTGGATTTGCACTACTGGATGTTCTATTTGCTGAATAATTTTCACTTTAGACTAGTTAAAAAAATCAGCAATGCTTACCACCCACCCTCCCCCACTCATATCATTAACTGGGTAGACTGGGAGCGCACAGCACACTGCTAAATTGTTTGTACTAAATAAGTAATACATATTTGTAAAAAAAACCTTAAATGCTCATACAATGCACACACATTTATACATCTGACATGTACCTAGGGATGCCACACCACCCCATGTTAAGGAGTTCTGTGTGTAAGTTACACCTTGCAGCACTTCCCAGCCACCGGGAGCCTGATCCACTGATTAGAACAAGGGACTGCACATTAAGAAACCTAGGTTCTGATTCCTCCTCTGCCAGCGACTTGCCCTCAGACAAATCCCTCAGCCACTCTTTGGTTCAATTTCCCCCATCTACAAGCGGGGCATTCTATCTGCTCCCTTCCTCATAGGGGGGTTGCAAGGCCAAATCCTTAACGTTTGCCACCTACTTTGAGGTGAGACGGTGAAAGGCAAAGCATTATCAGCTGCTGCGAACATTTCTGACAGGAAGAAAAGTGTTACCCTAGGTAGAGTCCTTCCATCTGTGAAGAACCATCCCCCGTGGTTTCACACAGACCCTGGTCAATGGTGACAGAAGATGCTCTTGGCTTGTAAAGACTTGCCTTGTTCAATCCTCACATCCTTGACAAGCCTCCAGGTCTCAAAGACAAAGAGTATGTTGTGCACCTAGTTTTGGAGATGGCTAGACAAGACTCTTCCACTGTATCGTGTACACAGCTCCCACTGAAGGCAATGTCGGCAGCCTATCAGCTTCCCTCCATCTATCTACCTAGGTTCTTATCCTACTGCATCCATCAGCATGGTATCACACTGGTACCTCCTGCTGTCACCCTGAATCTCAGATGTGGGATGGGGAAAGAGGGGGCTCTGCACCATTTACTTTTACTTAGCTTCAGAGAATTAAACCCTAGGAGGACGACGAAGAGCATTCAGAGCTTTAGTGCTTCCAGTGACCTGTGGAGCAGTTCCTGTGCAACTGTGTCTCCATAGTCATGAGACAGGAGGTTGATCCTCTGATTTCGGAGACCCAGGTGCCCCAGCAGCCCCTCGACGATGTTGGCCTGCTCAAAAATGGAATAGCGATGGGGCCTCTGTTTAAAAAGCAAAGCAAGAGAGCAGCTCCAGTGAGAGCAATGTCATACACTTCTATCGTATTAGTTACAGAGAGCTGGAATATCACTATGCAGGTTCTTTGGAACAGCCCACCTGGCAGTTCCAGTCTGACCAAGTTCAGTGCCTGGACACAACTGAGCACCAGTGCTCATGGACAAATGCAGAAGCATGACACAAGCCCAGGACTGACAGCCAACAACTCAGATTCTAGTCCAGGCTCCTGCTGATTTATTGAGACATCTTGAGCAAATCATTTTACCGCCACGTGCCTCAGTTTCCCCATCTATAAAATGGAGATAATGAAACTCAACTCACAGAAGGTGATGATTACCTAGTGTGTGTAAAGCTCTTTGAAGATGAAGAGCTAAGTACTAGCATACTCACTCAGTGATCTGTTTGCAAAGTTACAATTACACTAGCGTAACCACAAGCTAGTAACCCTCTGCCAGCATTTTACCATTCAGAGTCAGAGCTGCCTAACGTGACAAGTGAAGCAAAACTATTCTACAGAGGTCAGCCAACACTCCAGTGGAGTGTGGTCACTTTAGAGAACATTGCATCATGTCCCAGTTCTGATGTTTGATTTTAACACCGATCATATTCTAACAATTGTATCTTTATTTCTGTTACTGAAAAATATTAGAGACACAAGGTGGGTGAGGTAATAGCTTTTATTGAACCAACTTCTGCTGGTGAGAGAGACAAGCTTTCAAGCTTAAGAGCTCCGTGAAAGCTTGAAAACTTGTCTCTCACCAACAGAAGTCAGTCCAATAAAAGATATTACCTCACCCACCTTGTGTCTCTAATATCCTGGGAGCGACACAGCTACAACAACACTGCATCCTGAAAAAAATGCAAGTGGATAAAGACAGAAAGCAACCTGGGAAATGAACCGATTTCATTAAAATCCACAGGAAATAAAATCCATCTTCCCAGGCACAGGCATGTGTGATGCCATTGGTCTGGATGCACTTTCATCATTACATTCCTTTTCCAAAAAGAACTACACAATCATTTGTCAGGACCACTTACAGGCTTGTCACTAAAACCGAATCCTACAAAATCCAGAGCGATCACCCTTTGAAATCGCTGGGTCAGCCCTTCCCAAATCTGTAAGAGAAAGAGAGGAGAACATAAGAGCAGCTACACTCATATCTCTGAGGCCTACACACCAAGATGACAGGTTTCAGAGTTTGAATAAGGACTGGGAATGGCTGAGCCATTACAAACATTGAATCTATCTCCCCTTGTAAGTATTCTCACACTTCTTATCAAACTGTCTGTACTGGGCTAGCTTGATTATCACACCAAGATGGACAGTTCTACACTGTAGAGTATCAAAGGGGTAGCCGTGTTAGTCTGGATCTGTAAAAGCAGCGAAGAGTCCTGTGGCACCTTATAGACTAACAGACGTATAGGAGCATGAGCTTTCGTGGGTGAATACCCACTTCTTCGGATGCATCACCCACGAAAGCTCATGCTCCTATACGTCTGTTAGTTCTACACTGTAGTTTCTTAAAGCTCCTCCCAGACACACATGCTGCAAACATAAATTGAACTGCAGTGGATTTGAGTTATCATAATAACCAGTATATTATTGACAGCAAAAGCCAACAGATCTTCTAAAGAGTTATTTCACCCATTCCCCACGATTGGGTTTCTCCCTGCAAAAGCCATATTGGCTAGATCCCGAGGTTCCCCTCTGGTTTGCCTCTCCATCCAACGTAAGACCCAGTTCTATAGCTATATCCTCTGGCCAGATGTACCATATGGGAATTGCCTTCAGAACCTGTCAAACTGATACCACGATCACTCAACAGGGAAGTCCACCTTCTCATCCATTACAAGGGTAGTGCCCCTGAACTCCCAAAAATGTGAGTATTTGAAAGGACTCAGATTTTGAGATGACAGCTGCGCCTCCCAGCGAGAGGCCTTTATGGAGTTATTTTTAAAAGAAAATACCAATATTCATATAGGCCAGTTGAGAGAAGCTGCCCCCATCATCATGGAATCCATGTGTAGCCAGAGATGGGTTTTGCTCCCTTTGGAGCTTACAAAATCCAGCATCTGGTCCCAGGAATGCCACATGTATTACCACCAAACACTTACACAGCATGGGAAACTGACATCATTCTTTACAAGTACAAAAGAACCCTGTTTATCTGACCCTCCATTATCCGGCGCTCCATATTAACCGAACAACCAGCACACACAAGTCCAGAAGCAGGTGATCTCTCCTGTAGCCACTAGATGGCGCTGCGGCCTTGCACTTTCCCATTCTTTGGCTTATCCGAATGTTTGATTATGGGATCTGGCCCCAGTCACAATTTATACAGCAGAACGCTGTTATCTGATCTAAGACAAGTTTCCTGCCCCCAAGAACACACAAGCAAAATAAATCATAGAATAAAAATCTTAGGAGTAGAAGGGCCAAGGGATTAATAATGAGTAGAAGGGATGCTTGAAAGTGAGTCTTAAGGAGAGAACTGAAGTGGGGCAGGGCACTTGGCAGAGAACAGAGCACTCCAGTCATGGGAAGCAGCATTAGAAAAGGCCTGAAAAAGGGTGTGAGATGAAGGATGAAGTGGCAGGAGAGAAATGGGAAGAATTTAGGGAGAGGAAGGGATATCAGAGACATAGGTAGGTGGAAAGAAGGTTATATAGGGTCTTGTAGGTGATGGCTTAGCCACACTTTCAAAGCAATGACAAATTGTGCCAAGTTTCACCAAGGGCAAAGTCTTGGCTATGAGAAAAAAGAGCGAAGTGGGCTGGGGGAGTCAAAACAAGAACTTTGCCACAAACTAGGGAAGCCCTGTTATTCATCGATCTCACTAGTCGGACAGGCCCATTTATTCCTCCCTTAGAGATTCCCCTCTCATTTCCAGGGGAAGTGAGAATCACCCATTTTACTCACACAGTCCACGCTTTGGGCTTACTTGGTCCCCTCACCTTGTACCAATCATAGCTGGAGGTTGGGAAGCCGTGTAACAGAACCACAATATCGGAACTGCCGAGTGCACCTGATGAATCTGAGGAGAGAACAGGACATCAGCAAGGCGCGCTACACTCCAAGGAGGCTCTCTCTTTAAACTTTAAAACAGCTGTACAGGATAACATATCAGGGACCCAACAGTAATATCAACCAAGCTGTGTGTTCCAGGCTCCTGAGAAGAGTTTTGCTGGTTTCTGAACACTAAAAATTCAGATCTCTCCAGCTGAAAAGCCTCCCTCACAGTAACCATTCTTAGATCTTAACACAGAGACAACTCCCCGCCCCCCGAGACTGCCATTCAGAGACTTCTCAGCTTGCACAAAAACCTGTTACAAGGCCTATTGTTCCTTAAGAGCTGGACAGAGGTGCCTCGCAGAGGAGTGCGTTTACACTGTTGGTGTAATGGCATCACGTGGGGGCTCACCACATTAGGCTATTGATCCAGTCTATGTACATAGACAACTTGGGAGCAATGAGAGCGATCTTACATTTACATAACACCTTTCATTCTGAATGATCCCAAAGCACTACACAAATTTTAAACTGATAGGGAAACCAGGAATCAGACACTCAAATGCAGCCATCTCTTGGGTAAAACATGACAGCTGTTTCACGGCACATAGCAGCAGGTTAAGGACAGGAAGTGGAGAAAAATACTGCTCCCAACTGCAACTGTGGCATGGGGAAGACTTGGGAAGTAAGTATATTGTGAGCATCTGTACTTAAAACTGCAATTTGGCCATAATTTAGAGCGAACACCCCTGCTCTCAAGAAGGGATTTGTGGGATCTTCAATGACAAGCAGCTAAGACATCGTTTTTACGTCTCATCCAAAACGACAGCACCTCCAACTACACAGTGCTGCCTAACACCAACAGCCCACAAACGCAAGTGTGCCATTTGAGTAAACCTACCACTTCCAGTTCCTGCCGGACCTAACTGTTCCTGAGAGAAGTCGGATGCAAGCTACTCCTGGGGGAATTGTGCACCACTTCACGTGCACAGGATTCATATCCCATGCAGATTTCTTTACTTCCCCGCAGAAAAATTACTTTCTGATGGGGAAGCAAAGGGAAGCCACAAGAGCGGTCACATGCTCCTCCCCAGCAGCGCAGGCATGTTATTTCTGGTACCCGGAGCAGCGGGTAGAGAGGTAAATCACTGCAGGGGGGAGCTGTGGGGGGATGGGGATGCCCTGGATGGTCCTAGGTCAGACACCCCACTGGGGCCAGGTCAGGCCCACCCCCTGTCCACCCAACCCCCATGCATCCAAACCCCTCCATACCCAGATCCCTCCTGCTGAGCCTCACTCCCTCACACCCAGAACCCCCACCCCCCCAAGCTCCTCACACCCAAACTCCCACCCCGCTGAGCTTCACCCCCTGCTAGGGTGACCAGATGTCCCGATTTTATAGGGACATCCCGATATTTGGGGCTTTTTCTTATATAGGTTCCTATTACCCCCCACCCCCATCCCGATTTTTCACACTTGCTATCTGGTCAGCCTACCCCTGCATCCAGATCTCCCCCGCACACAGACCGGGACACGGACCTCTGGGGTAGGTCCAGCCCTTGTGCTGTGTCAGGGTCAGGTGCAGCTTCATCGCTGAGTCCGTGTCCTGGGTGGGGAACTGCAGGGTGATCTCTCACCTCTATGCAGCCAGTGGCCTGTGCTCCCCACTGCCATGGTGGAGCCTCCACATTTACTTATTGACAAATACAATTTGCAGACTTTTAAAATATTGTGCACAGAATTTTTATTTTTTTGGCGCAGAATTCCCTCAGGAGTAGCAAGTACGGTCCCAGCTTAGCTTATCAAATACAAGGGGATAAAAGCACAAGTTTGTACAGCTTCAGACACAAGTTACATAACCAGGTTTTTCTCCAACAGAGCTTAATCGTGGCTCCAAAAATTCCCTCTTGAGCACAAAAAGTGCAGGCAAAATCCCAACACTGACTAAATACCCCAGCAACGGGGGGCCACAACTTTTTTCTTACTATTATCCTGCACTCAGCTACTCATAACCAGGCTATCAGAGGCACCCACAACCCCCAGCATCTGCTCCCACAGTGCCTAGAGGGGGGTACTAGGCCCTGTCACACTTCACAATAAGACCCAAACGGCTTGTGGCCTTTAGGTACTACCACAATATAAATATTTAATAGTAATGATACCAACCCTGGTCCTAGACCCATGGTCCATTCCCCCAGAAGTGAATTAACTGACTTACATTTGCCACTTAATATAAGGCGGCCAGACCACTCCATTTCAGTGGAGTGTGGAGAGAAAACACCTCAAGAGCTAAGGAGCAAGGACTCCCCTCATCTTCTATTCAATCATTGCCATAGTTTCAACCCAGATTTAGCTCCCCTTTCACAAAGGACTGGCATCCGCATGCCCCTTCAGGCCACATCCCAGTACAAATGTTCCCATCGCACCTGTTTCTGTCCAGTCTGTCTCCAGTCAGTCTGTCTCTCTCCCCACACCCCTGTTTTATTTTTCTATGTATTTATTTTAAAACTTTTTGCTTTTTTTTTGCTCCCTATCTCCCCCCAGTGTCTATGTTTTCCTTGATTCTCCAGTGCTTTTCCAGCATGCCTTTTTCTTTACTTTCCCCTAAATTCTTCAGTGTCTCCTTCCCTCACCCTTCTTCTCCATGCGTGTCTTGCAGGGGATCTCCACTCTGTGCCAGGCCACCTTCTCT